GGGAATCGAACCCGGGTCGCAGCGGTGAGAGTCCTGCACCCTAACCACTAGACCAACCTCTCTGAAAATTGCTCATTCTTGTAAAAGGCTTGGTTCCCTCTTCCTCCTTCTTGTGCATTCTTAGGTAACTTGCTCTGCACCTCTGATTAATTTTTCGTAGTACAGGTCAAATCTTACCTGTTCAGTGACAGTTTTAGCTCCCATTGATTGCCACCGCTGGTAGCTCTTCTGCACATTGAAACTCTGTGTACAAGTTCAGGGGGATTTGACAAAGTTTATATTTCTCTAATGATTGTTGTAAAAAATGTATGGTCTAGGGAGCAAGCAAACTCATTCTTGGGTGAGTGAATGAGGTGTTGAGTCAAACTGATGATCCTTCTTTTCTGACTTTATTTCTTTTCTGTTCAGAGGCTTAGCTTTACCAGAGGGTGTGAACTGTGTGCTTTCATAGCTCAGCCTGCAGCATAAAGCAGGGAACATGAGCTTTAAACTGAGGAGGAAATAGAATCCCTTTCTCACCCCCTGAGGCAAGTAAAAAAGCCCTCATCCTCATTCTCTTTTTATTTCTTTTAGAAGTGTGGCCTAGCTGTTAGTTTTGGTAGTTCAAATAGGCTGTGTTTAAAAGACATTTGGCAGCAAATTCTTCCTTCACATGGGTGCTTCTCTGAAGTTTACCTGAATCAAATATGAGCAGAATTCTACCTTTTGAGTATAGGCTTGATGGAGATGTCACAGTCAGTAGTGTTGTGTATGGGTCCTGTTTGATGACACCAAGCTCCCTCTATGTTGTACACGAAATTTAGGAAATTAATACTGAGCTTTTGGGGTCAGGAGGCACCCAAAGTTTGGCAAGACCATACTCAACAAATCTGTATACTTGTGCTTTCATTCTTGGATGATACAGAGCTGCAAACCTTGTTCAGAAGGTCAGAGTTAGTCTGTGTAGAGTAGCTCTCTCCAGAACCTAAAATACTGTTTCTGGCAAGCAATGCATTTCCAGTGCATAAGCTGACAAGGAGATGCCTGCTTCTCTCCCTTTTGTGTAACAGCCATGAATGGCTCATCTGCTAACCTCACTTAGATGACCTACTTGCCTTTCGCCTCTCTTCTTCCAGCAATAATCTCTCAGACTTTTTGAGCAACCACCATTCAGTGTTATGGAAGCCAAAGTCAATCTAAATGCATTGATTGAGGATCATGGTAAGAGGTCACTTTGCCCATAAATTCAATGGAAGTCACACTGGGGGGGGGGAGGGATTTTTTTGCCACATTCAGGTCTCTTATGGTCTTACCTGTTAAACCCCTTGTCCTTAGGATGATTTACAGAAGCTGAGGCAATCTCCTTTATTGCTTGTTTAAGTGATTCTGGCTGACCTCTTGCACCATGGTTGAGGTTTTTGGTTTGGTGTTTCTTAAGGTCCATCACTCTTCTCATCCCCATGTGATCTTAAGATAGAACAAATATGCTTTGTGCTAGGTTCCAAGCTGATTACTATACTGTCAAACACATGAAGTAGCACAAGAGTATTCAATAATGCAAAATCCTTGGAGAGCATTAAAACACTCACCACAGTCTTACATTCTTGATTAAGATGTTTTTGATATGGTGGACCAGAACTATTTGAGCCTTGTCCGTATTAAAGCTTGTGACATGTAAACTTAACTTGACTCAGCTTCCATTCAATAATTACTATTAAAGTAAACCTTACATTCCACTTCAGACAGTTGTCCTCTGCTTTGTGCTGTGTTTATCAATTGTGAGGAATTTGTGTGCCTTAGAAGAACTCTCATGTCAGCAAACCTTGTTCTGGGTAGTTAGAACAGATGCAGCTACTGGTTGTGGTTTTGCTCCCTTTTTTGATAGCCCTTGCTTCCTTGTGTCTGTGTAATTTCCGTAATACACAGTAGGGCTGAGAGAGTTCTGAAGAGTGTGATAATCCTGAAATTTATTTTAAGTAGTGTTTCTTATATTCTCTCTACCATCTGTGGTACTGCAAAAGAAAGAAAACCCTAGTATTATGTGATTAAATGAAATTGTGCCTAGGCTTCTGTGGCTGTTCCAGGCACTGTATTCTACTCCAGTAATCTACACGTTGCTTTCCTACCAGTCAACAGTGCTCTCCAAAGCCCTGGTGCCATTCTTTGCATGTTTCATTCATGTCAGCCTGAGACTGATGGGGCAGTGATGTGGAGAAACACACTGAACTCTGCTAAACACTACATACTGGATTTAGCTGCCAGAGCCATACCAGAATGAGAGAGCAAATACTGCAATTGATGTTGACTTGATGCAGCAAACACCATTCATTCTTTCCAGCAGCCAGTGAGGATGCTGCTGTCAGTAAGGTCCACACTGACATTTTGCTTGACGTTCTCACATTAGGCTTAGTCACTAAACAAGGTAACAATCGCTTGGATGCCATGACCAGTTTTCAGTCCTTGTTTCTCAGCTGAAAATTTGTCACAGGGTTTTTTTGGTGGTTTTTTTTTTTTTTTTTGGTTGTTTTTTTTTTTTTTGCTGGGAATGCCAAATAGAATTTACTATTATGATGAAGAATGAGCTGCTGCAATGGTAGGGAGCACTTCACACCTATTCCCTCTCTAGTCTTGTTAGGGGATGTTTTAAGTGGCTACTATAACTTGTCAGATTCCTGGAACTGGGGCTTCCTCCTGCCTGCCCTCTGGAGCCCAGCTGGTGTGTCCTCTGTTCATCTGAGGCTCGTGGATGTGGCTGCTGCTTGCTTTCTTGGGATTCAACCAGTCATACACAGACATATATACAGTAGTGACAGGGCTGATTACACAGATTGCTATGCACCATGTGCTGTCTTCAACACCCACATAAAACACTGTCAGAACTTGTATAAAACATAAGTATAGACAGCCAAGTCTCCTTCCTTCTCTTCAGCTGATCAGAATTGAACTTCGTTACTGAAAAGCACACACTCCCTTCTGCAGCCTCACAAGTCCATGCATGTTTATGAATCCCTCAACCCTCCATACAACACTCTCTGTGTCTAATGCTCTCTTTGGTGCTCCGTGGGTCTCCTACCCATCAGCTGGATTAGTGCACAGTAGCAAACAGGTGATGTATGCACCCCTGCATGCGTGGATACCCCCTCAAATACCAGTGTGGGCACCCCCCTGTCAAACATCCCTGCCTAGGCCACCTAGTTGCTGGTCTAGACCAGCTTGAAGTTTGCTAGAGAATTACAGCCATGTACACCAGCCATGTATACAAGGTTTGGGGAAATGCAAACCACCTGGCCCACCCTAGCAGCTGGCACCCAGGCACGTAGACCCGTGACTCCCACTCCACTTGCTGGTGCTGGGAGACCCTTACTCTGCTTTTCTCATCCCCATTCTCTCCTGTAGCTGGTACACATAAGGTGTAACCGTGAAACCTGTGACCCGTGGTCCCACTTCAGTGGGACTGAAGCAGAGACCCTCATTTACTCTAGTTGCTGACACCAGGGGTTCCTTCACCTGCTGTCTGACTACAGTTGCTTGCCTAGAATTTATTCACACTGGTCCCCTCGTAGTTGCTCCAGATATTTGGTCTTAACACCTGTGGACATGTACTCCTAGGATCTGCATTTCCCCTTTCAGCTACTGATGTTGAGACCCTCCTTTTCTCTAGTTGCTGTGACCCCAGGCCTGAGGGCACCTTCATCCCTTGTCCCACTCCAATTGCTAGACCTGAATTCACTCATACTTGCCTCCAGTTGCTGACATATAGTTCTTAGAGAACATGTGCAGATGGGGTTGAGAGTGAGATTGCACAGAAAAATAGTATTTAATAAAATAGGGTACACTGGGGAGAACGTGCAGACTGGCAACCTTTTATGCAACTGACCCTTTTGCTACCCTTTTCTATCTATTGCCCCACTTCTGTTCCCTTTCTCCTAAACATTCCTTGATAAGCATTGCATAGTCCCACAGGCGTCCCTTGAGTATCCACAGTCCTCATGTTTCTCTTGTTTTCTATTTATTAGCATTCACAGTGTCCAGACTGGGCCTCTCTAAAGCTATGAATTTCTTAGTAGCCTGTCAATTAGCAACTGGACACTTTTGGTCTTTGTTGTTGTCTCTGTTTATGGCTCTACTTGTTTGTAGTTTCACATTTAGTTTTTCCCCCCCATTTCTTTGCTTATTCCTCTCAGTTTACTTATCCCCTTTGCACTGAAAGGTCTGTGATTGAATAACCTTAATGAAGCAGATTTTCCTTTCTCCTCTTTTCCGCATAAACATTTTAATTTGGTTTTGAGCTGATCAGTAGTAGTGAACTTTCTCTGCTCTAAGTGTTTATGAAATTAAATGGGTTTTTTTATTGCAAACAGGTACATGGCTCCTGAAGTTCTAGATGATTCCATAAATATGAAACATTTTGAGTCATTCAAACGAGCAGACATCTATGCAATGGGATTAGTCTTTTGGGAAATTGCTCGGCGATGTTCAATTGGTGGTACGTGACAATCTTTACGAAATTGTATATACTAAGAAATTTTAAGTAACGTACTCAAACTTATTTAGATTCTGATAACAGTTTGCTCTAAAAACAGTGCAAGATAATAGCCAGTGTGTCTCAGACTTTCTAATTGTTAATGCTGTAAATGATGACTGGTCTATTCAACCTCATTCTAAACTAATGAACCATACTTGTTGAAGAAAATAGGAAATATTCATGTCTATTTTTTTTTATAAAACTTTACATAGAGTGGAGAAAAGGGTGAAGTTAAGTGTTCTGTGAGCAAGGGGCAAACACCACAGGTGAGAACTAGCTAAAATGTGTCCAGATAAAATCTATACCTTATTTAAAATGAAGCATGCTGTTATTAATTATATGCTCTGAAGAAGCATGTCTTTAGTATAGCATATGAAAGATTTGACGTAGCTTATATCTCTTCCAATTTTATAAATTTTAAATTCTTCAAGAGTAATGTAAATGCTCCCAAGGTACGGTTAAGGGGTTTTTTATTACTTATTTATTTGTCAGTCATTGTAATGTGACTTCTAAAAATAAAAACCAAAAACTGGTAGGGTACTAATAAGGAAGACAGTAAAAAATGGAGAATACGTCATCTAATGTCAGCTAAAATAAAGCCATTTTCAACCTATTACAGGAATCCACGAAGATTACCAATTGCCATACTATGACCTCGTTCCTTCAGATCCTTCTGTTGAAGAAATGAGGAAAGTTGTGTGTGAGCAGAAGTTAAGGCCCAATATTCCAAACAGATGGCAGAGTTGTGAGGTATTAACTAACCTTGTTAAAGCCACTTTAGCAGACACTAGAGCTTTTAGTGATTTCAGTGGCTTAAAAACTGTGCTTGTTGTTGAATGGAGAAGGGCTGCTTCTAGGATAACCTAATTAATTTCATTCTGATCACTGTGGCTTTAGTAAATGTCATTGTTCCTTGGTTATACACTAGTATTTAAATGTATTTTCGTAAAAACTAATAGCTAACTCTGCATGCAGGATTCTAGGATCCTTCCTGTGAAGCATAGGTGATGCTATTTAAATGAGAGCTAGTCTGAATTATATTATGCATAAAGCATCATTGCAAGTAAATTTTGCAGTGGGGAGTTGTGCTGTGTCTAAGTGGAATTGACTTAACTTCCTTCATAGCAGCCTGTATGGTGTGGTGTTCTGGATTTGTGACCAAAACAGTTTGATAGCACACTGATAGCTATTGCTGATCAGTGCTTACACAGCTTCAAGGCATTCTCCCTTTCTCATGTGAGTTGGGGGTGGACAAGAGTATGAGAAGGAACACAGTTGGGACAGCTGACCCAAACTGGTCAGAGGGAATATTCCATTGCTCTGGGAACTCAGCTAGGGCTAGAACAAGTGCTTTCTGATTCGCAGCTTAGGAGAACGGCTGTGGTAGGCTACAGGAGGAGTAAGGGATTGATAAGATATGATATACATTAGATACATTAGAGGGAACTAGGTTGTGGCACATGTGAAATGAATGCATGGGTGAATGCCTGAGATAGGCGATTTGGGAAGAGAACACAGGAAGGAGAGAAAGGTGATGATATTCACTAGCAAGCTGTGGAGTTATTTTTTTAAATGATGGCACTTCAATCCTGATAACTTCCTATCCGTGTAATACAGCTTTCAGTGTAAAATTTTGGAACATCTTCAGTTTTTGTGATTTGCTTTGTGAATGCTACTACACAAGTAACAGACTTCAAAGAATGGTTGTTTAAAGGATACAAGTACTCCAAAAATTTTCAGTCTCATTACAGAGGTTTGATTTGAGGAAGACAGCTGATAAATTTCTTAATTGCTTTCTACTGAACTAACTCCTTAACTGGAGGTACGATAAAAAAAAGCGTATTTTTGTCTAATGTGAAAATTCAGAAAACAGTTACAGACAAGCTACTAATTTTTCATTAAAATATTTTTTCATGGGCCAAAAGCCTGCTGTAAAATACTGGGTTTGCTGTACAGTATTTAGAGAGTTTTGGTTTTCTGTAAATAAAGTAAGAATTTGATTTTTTTTTTTTTCAGGCAGCACACTCTTCCATGCAGCTGTAGCACTGGTAGTAGACTTCAGAAATGCTTGAAGAGGCTAAGGCAGAACAGTGGTTCCATGGGCTGCATTGGAACAGCAGTACATATAATGACTTGTCTTTCCTTTGCAGGCATTGCGAGTAATGGCAAAAATTATGCGAGAATGCTGGTATGCCAACGGAGCTGCCAGGCTGACAGCTTTGCGCATTAAGAAAACATTATCGCAACTTAGTCAACAGGAGGGGATAAAGATGTAATCCTGGATTTGCTACCGAAGAACACTGTAAAAATCCCTATCTGCACCAGAGTGGCGTGTTAAGATGGTTAATTGTTCTACCTCACTGGGGGAACAGAAGGATATTGCTGCCTTTTAGTACTTCATAGGAACGTCACGTATTAGGATTTTTGTGGATGTGCTAAACAGTTGTGTTGGGTCCTTTCTGTGCACTATGAACCTCTTTCCCGGGTTACTTACAAAACATCATGTATTCTAGTTTTATTAACTTGTAATTTTTTATTTGGAAAGTTGATAGCTGGTTTTTACTAGTTAACTGTGCTAAAAGTAGGAGGTCACTTCTAAAATGGAACTGGCTCACTATATTGTTCTAAAGTGCATCAATGGCTCTTCAGGCAACTTTATTCCTGGCTGGTACATTGACTATTCTGAACCACTGTCTCAATTCCTTGATTCAGATTGTGAATGTACTATTGGAGTACTTTGCTTGCTATTAAGGTAGTGTATCTTTTGGACTCTGACCTTGACTTACAAATTGACCTCATTCAGTTGTGGGAACATAACTTATGCAACTATACTTTATACATGATTACTGGGTTTTTTCCACTTTTTCAGAACATTACATTGCCTTCAAAATAGATTGTATCACACCAGTAAGTGCCACTTTTGAGTCTTTTAATGCAAAACAGTAGGAACATATGAAGCCTTTGGTACTTTTGGTTTCAAAAATACAAGTTAAAAATTAACTGTTCCTTTGCCTAGCTAAGATCTAATTCTCACTTGTTCCAGCAACATAATTCATGGAATATTTTTGATTTTACCAAAATCGAACTCTTGATACCACTGTAGGAGTTTTAAATAGTGTAAGCTAGTAAATTCAGTCATATTTTGTAATTGTCAAGTTATGAGTCATAATTATGTAGATGATTTTTTTTAATGAAGTGGTACTTCTAAAATGCTTAAAGTACCTCTTTACTTCAGAAAAGTAGCAACAAGAGTAAAATGTTCTTAAGGGAGACTTTGTTTCATTAAATCAAACATGAAAAGCATATTTTCTGTACAGTTCTGCTGAGTCTTAAGGCTCAAAGAACAATATTTGCAATTAAATGAGGATTAAGTGCACCTGTAATTAGAAAAAAGTTATTTGGGCTTTTGTACTAGAAAGTTCAAAGCTGCTTAAAGATTTTATGTGCATATATGTTGTGTGCCTCATACACAAAGTGATGAGCTACAGAAAGTGGTGAGCTGCAGGTCTTTGGATACAAATACCAGAGGATTCCAGCAATCCTCTTCATAGTTAGAAGAACAAAGCTTATGGTGACTTGTGTTGTCATAAGAACACAAAAGAATATGCATGGCTTTAGTCAAGATTTCCGTGAGATTTTAAGGGTATCATAAAATCTTCACAAACCTGTATAGAAATTGAATTGCTTCCTGCCCAAATGTACAACTTCTGGAGAGGATGGGAAGAATTAAATGGAAAATTGTCCTTAAAAAACTGCTGTTACCAGGATATTTTAATTGCAGTTTTAGGAAGAGTCTGGTTGACCTTTGGTTTCATCAATGCCCAAAACAGTTCATAGTATTTCAGTGTGTAAATATGCCTGGCAATTAATATGCCCCCTCACCTCCTACTCTCAGAACACGTCTGTACCCATCCCGTTACACAACACACATGGCAATGTTATCTTTGCTTCCCTTTCATCCCTCAGCCCACTGAGAGTTGATCACAAAGCTGGTAGCAGTGATTGCTGACAGCAGCATAGTCTGTTATGTGGTAGCTAAAGCAGGAAGATGAGTGGGGCCTAGTAAGAAGAGGCTACATAGGTGACTTAAGCCTTAGCCAAGATAAGCCTTTGCACTTCACTAACTTCTGTGTTGTTGCCTGCTTGGAGGTCAGTTTGGTTGATTTGGGAATTACAGACCCTCAGAGGTTGAACTGCAAATAATGAAATGCTTTATTTGGCCACCTTTATGGATGAGTCTACTCATACTGGAAGACAGCATTCAGGAGAAAAGGAAAAACTAAGGGGAGTTCTTGGAAAACAGTTAGGCTTAAACATATGTACAGCTGTCACAGTTGTGTTTGTTTGGCACTATCTAACAAGTCAGGTTTATGTGCTTCAGGCCTCCATCAATCAAAGCTGAATTAAAAGTTACTTCATGTAGGTATTTAAATACGCTATGCCTGTGTGCACATGGACAGCTGTGCACTACAGCATTTTTCAGTTATGAGTGTTCAGAAAAAATCACAGAATATGTTGAGTTGGAAGGGACCCACAAGGATCATTGAGTCCAACACCTGGCCCTGCACAGGACCATCCCTAAGAGTCACACCATGTGCCTGAGAGTATTGTCCAAATGCTTTTTGAACTCTGTCAGGCTTGGTGCTGTGACCACTTCCCTGGGGGAGCCTGTTGTGGTGCCCAACCACCTTCTAGGTGAAGAACATTTTTCTAAAATCTAACCAATGCTTGAATATAACTTTAACTCCAAAGCCTATCTACCTGGCATGCCTCTCTAGCAAGTTCTATATATTTAGGCACGTATTTAAAGAAAACAGATCAGTGTCAAAATGTGCCTTATTGTATCTCCATGATAATGTCATAGGCTTCCTATTTAGCTTTGTTAGCTTTTTTTGTAACTTTGTTACATTTCAAGTTTTCATAGATGTAGTTGGGTCCTTACCATTGATACAAATGATGTAGATCATACTTTAGAAACATCAGGCTTCCGTCCTGGCTCAGATCTCTATAGTTGTCTTGATGGTAACATGAGGTGGTAATATAATTCATCAAATAATTTTTAGTGGCTTTTTTAGCACCTACAAAACTTTATCAGCATAATGTTTAATTTCCTAAAGTATAAGGAACAGTTCTGTGTCATTTTAAAGGGGATCTACAGCAGCTGAACAGCATCATGGCATGTGGATTATTCTGTCAACTGTAGAGGTTTGTTACGTTGTCTCGACCACCTGCAAATCTTCATTCTCCCGAATTGCTACCAACTATTTTTACTTTGTTCTAATATTTTGCTTTGTAATAGAACCTTGCAAAAACAAAGCACAGAAGGATGCTTGACACAGTGTATGACATTAGGAACAGTATTTTGGAACAACCTTATTATTCATATTGGGCTGCAGAACAGGAAAATTCTGAGTAGAGCTATATGTATCCTCAGTTCTGACACCACAACTTCAAGCTTTGTTCTTCTTTTCCATTATATCAACTGAACACCTTTTACAAAGGCTGTGTCTGTATATATTATGTAACTTTAAATGTTACCTGTGTAAGATCATATCTTATATATATGGACACAGGTACACATAAGTATTTTTTAAATTAAGATTGTAATATCACCAGATCTGCTCTTGGAAATCCAGGGGGACCAAAATATTTTAGCATTCAAAATATTAATTTTGTATCATTTCAAGTATATACCAAAACAGTTTCTGATTAATACTGATGCAAATGTTTATTGTAAATATTACATACATTATACATCACTTAAGTTTTGTGGATTTAATCAATTTTACATGTTAGTAGCATTGAAGCCTCAGTTTGGTTTACAGACTTGTGACCAGGGGGATGTGGACATGGAGAACAAGGAGCATTTGAAATGGTCTGATGCTGAAGAGCCTGAAATGTCATTTTTGGAATGCTGGAATTCTTCAGGGACGTTACAACCTTAAAAGCTGGAATTCTGGGAAGTTTCTCAAGCGGACTTTCCAAGTATGACACACTGTCACCCTCCAATGGTTCCACTTGTAATCCTAAGAAAGACTTTGTATATAGGTAAAGACATTGGGATTGACTGACTGTATGGGGACATGAAGGTGTCAAATGAAGTAAGAGGCTATTTTATTTTTTCAGTAATGGCTCTGAGTGTGATTGCCATGAAATTCACCTTTTAGTTAGTTCCTCGTTTACGTTGTGCCATTGAAATGATTGCAAGGTGTTAATCATTGTGTTTAAAAACAAACAAACCCTTCACCATATCAGTTGCTTTAAAGTCAAATTACCTCTTAAAAGACCAAGGTACATTTACCTCATGTGTATATAATGTTTAATATTTTTCAGAACGTTCTCCAGGTTTGCAGTTACATGTTTCTAGAAATATGGGTATTTCTAAATTTACAACTTCAGCGGTACTAAGTATATTATCTGGTGCCCCAAAACACTTTAATTTTCTGTATTTTATTGTATTAGCAAGTTTGCTGCTTTGTCACTGTAGCACCTGCCCTTACATAGCTGTGTGGATACTGCCTTGTAAATTTTACTTTTTTGGATGATTTGAGGATCCTGTACAGATGCGTGTCACTTTTCTAAACCTTACCAAATTGTGCATTTCCCTTACATTTCTGAAAATATGTATTGTATTTGTAGAGTATACATTTCAATGGATTGTAAATAGGGTAGTAGAAGAGTGGATGCTTATCTTAAGTGCTAACACTACAGTAGAAAGATTAAAGCAGTGAAAATAAATAACTTTTTTTCAAAATGCGTGAGTTGTCTTTCAGAGCAAGAAGTTGTGGGTAGATATGGGTTTGCATGTAATATTCTTATCTGGTAAAATGTGGGTTTGCTGTGAATTCCTTTCCTCAGAAGAAATTTCTGCTAGCACAAAAACAATACAAGAATTTGTTAATGCTGAGGCAGTCCATCTCATCTGTGCTATGCAGATAATGTGCTGCTCTTCCTTGTGTCCTACAATAACAGTTGAATAAGAATCTTTCTAGTGTGTCTCATCTCCTGGACAAAATAACTCATGACAAATTTTTCTGTCTCTACTTTTATATATGAGTAGAAATAACAGAGCTGCTGAGGATTTCAGACTACTTAAACAGCTCCATGCATCCCAGAACAGCAAGTTAAATTAGCTTGTGTTGGAGTGGATTGTTCCTGTGCAAAATTCTGGTTTAGGCTGGTGTTACATTTCTGAGGGAAACTGAAGATTTAGACATGACAAAAATAGGACATCTTGCCCTTCCATAACTTTATGTGTCTCCCTTAATTTTGGCTTAGAAACAGCCAGACAGAATTATGAAAAAGTACTTGTTCCAGCAACCTTTCTCCAAAAGGGGAAGCCATAAGGTGTCCAGAGAAGGCCAATAGCTCTGTCAAAACACTGTGTTCCTGTTCAAATGCTTTTACAGGAAATATGATTATTTGGCTGAAAATGCATCCCTCTCCTGTGAGTGGCTAAAGGAAGGCCTCTGCTCCCACTGCAAGCAACCAAAACTCAGTAAAATCCTGAATCCCTCTCCTGCATCTACTAGTTGATGAAATGTATGGTCTGGAAATAGCATGGCAGTGTTGCTGTTTACCACACTTAGTTTTTATTAAATAGTCTTCTGTGCTTCATGCTTTGAGGGCCTGAGCCTAACCACTGAAAAACCATAAACAGCAAACAATTACCTCAAGTAACTAAAATGTAAAGATGTTTTAAGATCATTTTAAAGGAGATGCTGAATTTAGAAGGTCTGCATGCTGGTTTGGATTGCAAATCAGCATGAAGAGTGGCAGACTTTCAGCTGAATTTTTTAAGTATGGGGCTGTTAAAATGGCTTCTTTTTAGTACCCACTGCACTAAAGTAATGAATATTTTCTGTAGGTGTAGCTAACAAGAGAGTATATAAACAAACCACTTCTATGCAGTACCAAGTAAGTATTGCAATTTTCCTTTTATCAATTTTTGTGATATTTTTAACGGATGTACAGTAATTGATGAACCTAGTAATTGTAGTATAGCATAAAGGTGGTCTTTATGCAATACTAGAAAATAGTAGAAAATAGATTCCTTTTAAAATAGGAAATAAAAATTCCAGATTTCTCATTAAGTGCTCTTACTAGCTTTTTTTATCTATCAAGCCAAGTTGTGATGTTTTAACTGGAACTAGCAGTGTTCACTGTTTTGCTGATGAAACATTTACTAGAACCTTACACTGCAAACCCCTTTACCCACATGATTTGCTGCTGTGGTTTTGAGTCTCAGAATTCTGTTTTGGAGTGGCTGGAGTTGTTCCAGGTTGTTTTCTAGGTTGGAAAAAAATGTAGGCACAGCATTTCCTTTGTTAACTTGAGTAGGCTGCAAATAAAGTGTCCAGTAATGCTTGGGAAACCCACAGCCTTGAGTCTTCCTGAGAGATTCTTGAAGATTTAAATCCCCAGTCTCCAAGATGTAATGCTACCAGAAATCATTACCTCTCTTTTGAAGAGTAAAAAGCCAGAGCAAACTATGTTGATAGGTTCCTATGCAAGATTGCTGTGTTTATTGGTATTAAAAGAGCTATATGGAGATACTTTCAAATTGTTTCAAAAAGAACTAATTTATGCTTAAGGCAGTATATTCTCTACATTTCTAATTAAAAACAGATGGTTTCTTTAGGCCATTTGAAACCTGGCTTGAGTTGAAGAAGCTTCTTTAATATGTTATTCAGCTGATATATGTTTAGGTACTACTCTTTTTCACATCATGTCACTCAATTTTAGAAAGTGAATGGCAGCTTGGATCTTTTTTCGTCCAGTGGATCTTCTCTGCTGGGAATAATTATATTGGTATTTTTGTGTTGCCTTTTGTGTGTATTTAATGTTGTAGCATGAAGAAAGACAATTCCAGCGCTCATCTTCTTTTCTTACTTGCTTACTTCCCCTCTCTGCTTTAGCTAATGCAAAATTCTGATTGCTAGCATGTGTACTGAGTCACTGGCACTCAGCTCACCCCATCTCCCCACAGCTGCATTTCCTGCTCCATGTGAGAAAGGCATTTGGAAAGCTGGGGGCAGTTGGTTTGTTTTAGTTCATTTGAAGAGGTACTCTTTCTCTGTGATTTCTCAAGCTTTTCTTGCTTTTCTTACAGCCTGGCTCTTGGAGACTTTCTTCTCAAGTAAACTTCAGTGAGAAATTTTATCCCAGTAGTAGGTCTCACTCTCCTTGAAGTCCTACCTTTATTGTTATGAGGGGAGAAGAATTTTCACAGGCCATTCCTGACATGAGCTCCCTTACTTGTGCACGCCTTCACACAGAACACTTCACAGGTCGTTGTTTTGCTTTTGCTTTGGCCCCTTACTGTTTGAAATTTACAGGATGGAACATCTCTATTGTGTGCTTGAAATTTGCAGAATAAAACATCTCTGTTGATATGGACTGTGACTCCAATATCCTTAATGTTCAAAATCTCTCCTAGATTTTTTTTTTTGCATAAAGCAGTTCAAAAGTATACCATAAAATACAGCAAACTGTAATGCTTTATTTCTTCTGTAATGATGTTCTGGTTGAAATGAGTTGCTATTGCAAGACTTCATTGAGTGACTTACAGAAGTACACCTCTGTATTGGTTTATGATACCATCCTGGGAAACATCTAAACACTACCTAGATATAATTTAATGGAATTACTTGGGAGAAAAAGAAGAAGGGTTACAAGACTAGAGGTCATTCAGTGTTGTCTTGAGTGAAAGGATCATTATCATGTTATCCCTATTTGAACTGTAAAAAGATAGAAAGCTGTTCTGTCATTGTAATTCTTAAAACGTATGCTTTAAAAAATACTTTGTTTACAGTAGCCCTTAAGAAAACCAAAAAGATAGAAATAGAATCAAATCAAAAGACCAGTGGTGTCACTTTCAACTCGTTAGCATATATATCAGCATGTGTTTCCTTAGGTGTCCATCTGTTTAGACACAATTACCAAGGCAGTTACACTCTGGGGTAAATGTAAAACTTAAGTGAAACTATTGTCTTTATAGATCTAAATTAGTTTGAGTTTCTCATTTAGAGGTTAATGCACTCCTGGGTTATGACAATACTAAGCTCCTACAGACTCATATTTGATCAGAAAGCTAAAAGATTTAGAAGAAAATTGAAGAGGTTTTTTTTTTCTTTTGCACTCTTGAGGGTTTTAGTTTCATTCACATGCTTTATCTCTGTGGTATTGGAAAAATTAGCTGGGGTGCCCAAGGCAAAGACATGCACTTCTGAAGCAGCAGTAGTGTTTAAGGAGTTTCCAAGACAAAGTTCTATGTTACTGATTCCTAAGGCATAACTGCTCTGCCAGTGGTCTAGTCGCTGGGGGTTTCATGTGTTTTCATGCATTTGTTTTTCCTTACAGTCATGAGCACTATTGGAGGTGATTTATATAGGCCAAAGTTCAGGAAGGTGTTGTCTCTCGAGACAATCTGTTTACAGTGTCTGAGCTGGAGTACAGGAACTTTATAAATTATTACAGATGTTTTACATATGAGTGACTGATCCCTCAAATGCAGACCTTTGTGCTTTTTCTGGCTCCCTGTCAGCCTCTTTCAAACTGTCTCCCTAGATGAATCCTGACATTTGGGAAGTAGTCCTTGCTGAGTATGTGATCGTGGGCCTGAAAAAGGTGGTCAGGCTGAAGGAACATTGCTCATCTCAGTTTTCAAAAAGGGAATACTTTGAAGACTTAATGGAAGAAACCAAAGCTGATTCTTAAGCAAAATTCTTCATGCCAGGCCCTACTAAAAGACATGCATTGGAAAATTTCCGTAAAAGCAAGGAAACAGTGTCTAAAGTCAGAGGCGATCACAGAGAAGAAAGGAGGTGAGATAGCTGGACACCACTTGGTGTTGCTTGGGCACAATTTCGTATGGATTGATGGCTTTTTACCTAGCCAAGCATTTCCATTCACGTAAACAAATATCTATCTATTAACAACATCACTGAGACAGTGAAATTCCCACCCTGAGAAATGAAGTCATCTTTCTCAAGGAAAGCTTGGGAGTTATCTGACAAGCTAAAAATAATTATAGAAAGAAGAACATCATAGAAGAACATAATGCAGGTGGTTTTGAAGCTCTCTGTTAAAGAAATAGCTGTGCAAAACCATGAACATGCTCTGATGCAATAAAAATTCAGAAGACATAAATACGATAAATCGAGGATGAAAAATCAAGGCTAAGAAAGTGAGAAGGAAAGAAACAAAGCTGTATTGCTAACAGTTCTCATACCATCTGTGCATACGAGGAGGTGCCAGACAGAATTTTGCTGACACATCCTATTTTGAAGGGGATGTTGAAGATAACATAAGTAGTGCATTGTCTGTACTGTCAGTTTTGGTCTTTCATACAGAAAATCAAACCAGAATGAGTTTGTTTTCATATATGCTTGAACAACAGCAACAAAAGTGCACCAAAACATGGAGTGTTGTAATCTGGGTAGCTAGAACACTGAGATACAGAGAAAGCACAGCTCTCCCATAGAGAAAAGAGGAGTGAAACAATAGGCACTGAAGGAGAACATGCTCCTTATCTAGAAGGAAAGCCATGATTCTTTTTATATATCAGATAGCTATAGTGAAAAGACATAAAACAAGCTGGAAAATAGTGATGTAGTGGATTATGTTTCTGCTGTGAATGTAGGGGAAAAGTTATCCCTGATTATTCCATTCTGCAAAGGGCATCTTGCTGATAGCTTCAGGGAGCCAGAAAAAGCAGTGGGCTTTATTATCCTCATCTGTGATGAGGCTTCT